GGCCACTGGAACTCCTGCAGTATTCATGTCGGGGAGACAAGGGTGACTCCCTTTCTTTGACTTTTAGGTCAAAAGAACTAGTTGCTGGGACAGCTTGACAATTAGAAAACCCTGATGAGCATTTGGAAGTAAAACAGCTGTACAATAACGGAGGGGTTCATGGTGCGGGGCAGAAAGCTCATCAAAAGACACTATCCAAACAATCGTGTTCTATAATTAACACACAAAAATCTGTTCAGAAATGGTAATAACAGTTAAAGAAAGCTGAGAAGATGCTGCCTACTTATGTGGCAGATGTGGTTTTGTTACAATCTGAGAAAGAAAATCCATCCTCTTAAAGACTAAGAACAGCATTAAAGGGAAAAAAGAAAAGTAACTTTTTGTGCCTAAGTGTGCGGTTAAAACATGGTCTTAAAATATTTCCAGAGAGAGAAGAGCTGTAGAAAAAGTAACCGGTGATGAAAGACATAAAATATGCTATCAAAGTATTTTTTCAAGTCTTTAAACAGAAATTTATCACTGAAATTTATAAACCTGACATTGAAATATCTCTTATTAAATCATTTGCTTTGCCCTTTATTTCACCAAGAATGCTATTTTAGGGTCTTGCTTTAAAGCTAGCTACAATCATTGACTTAAAAGAAGTTTTCCTTCTTCTGTTGTGTGTGTAGGGATATTTGATTCAAAATGGCATCTGAAGGAGTTTTGAAGTTTTCCTGAGTATATAGCTAATACATTTTTCTGCTGCAAAATTGGAAACTATGAAATGCACAGTTCCTGACATTTCAGCTAACTCCACAGAGTTTAGCTGTATTACTTACTTGACTGTGATGACAAATGCTTTTGGTGGTGCAAAGGTAGTGCATCACCACTACTGAAAGTAGTGCCCCTTTGGGGCAGAAGGGTGCAGTGGGATTGTGGTCTCTGTTTGGCTGTTGTCCTGCCCAGGCTGAGAGCCCTTTCCTTGCAGTTGTGTGGATACCTCAGACTGTGGCACAGGGATCGTTCAGGCAGTGTCTCTACAGCTAGCACTGTTGGCCTGTGCAGGATTGCATCCCACTGGGCTTTTTTTGCTGCTGCTGCTGCAAATAAGCATTTCAGAACATCTATGTCAAATTTTCTTCTAATATCAGTTCATTGACTTAACTAGATTTACTTGAGCAAACACATTTCTGTGCTTGTTTTATTTTTGCCCCGTTCATTTTATTATTCATCCTGATCAAAGATCACTATTTTCTTGGTTGCAGGTTCTCCTGAGCAGAGGCTGAGGCCTCAGGTAGGATGTTTCTCCTGGCCTTGGTCTCTGGTTGCCAGGGCTGCTGCCAGAGCAATAGCCAGCTCAGGGCTGTTCTGCTTGAACCTTTCCCATCCTGTCACTTCTCAGAGCCTGCCTAGCTCTGCCAGGCTCCAGGGTCTCTTGTCAAACCCACTCAAGTGTAGCTTTTTTAAAGATTGCCCCTACACCCAAATAAAAACAAATCCAACCCATGGCTTACTTTAAAATAGTTAAAACCTATTTAATACATAGATTTTGATATAGCTGTGTTTAAAAGAATGTAATTAGAGGCTCATTCACCATCATATGAGTTTTTAAATTCTGAAATTGCTGGCTGAAATTTTCTAATAGAAAATTCAGCATTTGGAGAGACCAAGCAAGCAGACTTTCCAGCCCACACATGTATTTTCTTTCTTTTTTTTTTTTTTTTTCTTTCTTTTTTTTTTTTTTTTTTAGGGAGCCATGAGTCTGAAAATCAGGTTTTAATGAGAAAATGGAGTTTGAAAAACAGCTTGAGAAAATTTGTGTCTAGATTTGACTGGAGTTCCATAATTCTTCAGAGCGACTTTTGCAGATTTATCATGTATCATTTTGGTAAATTTGGACAAAAAAAGAAGGGAAAAGGCAAGTAATAATTATCAGCCATGTCTGGCTGATCCTGTCTTGCTTTAAGAGAAATAGAAATCAAATTGATATTATTTTAGAATTCAAAGACATCAGCATAATTATTTCAAGCTGTTGTCCCTTTAAAACCAATGGGATTTGTTCTGAGGAAAAACTGTGAGGTGAAAATATTTTTGTTTGAGGATTTCCCTTGAATCTAGTGCAGCCGATTGTGACCGTGTTATGCTTCTGGGTGATCTGAATGTGAGAAAAGATTTTTCTCCTTTTTTCTTTGTGTTAAAACTAACAGAAAGAACTAATTAAGGCAAAGCTAAGAAACTGAACTTAGAGTTTGCACTGCACATGTGAACTAATCTTTTTACAATGGCATCTTTCGAAGACTGTGTAAGAATCCCATTCATGCTGGGGCTCACCCAGCAAATCCTTCCTAGAAAAGCATCCGCGTGAAGATTTGGCAGGAGCAATAAAGACTTCTAGGGAACAGGTTCTGTACAGGCTTCTTGTTTGCCTACGAAGTTATTAACCTTCAAAAAAAGCCCATCCGTAGCCTTAACAGGCACTGATTGTAATAGGTGTGTCCGCAGCACTTCATGCTAAGAACAGCTTTTACAGGATTAGGGTTGAGTTTTTAAGTGAAGGTACCACCGAGCTCTTGGGGGCAAAGCATCGCTGGTTTAGTGCAGCACATTCTCTAATGCCCTTTTATGTCAGTGCTGGAATGTGGTGAATCTCTAAGCACAGTAAAATGAAGAAAACTGTCTTCAAGAGTAGGTGATTTTTGAAGCAAAATGGCTGTGTGTGCTTTAGGAGCAGCCACTGTGTTTGGAGAGCTTCCTTCAGGTCTTGAAATATTAATGATCGTGGCTTAATATAGTAGAAAACAAAATACAGTGAATGAAATGGGGGGAAAAAAATCCTTGAGTTACAGAGTGTTGACCTTGCAGTGCCCACTGAATCCATCTATTCCCTTTTAAACCACTGAGTCTGAAAAGACAGGGAGGAGGAGGAGGAGGAATGGTAGCAAAAATCTTTACCTGTGACATTTTCCTGCCTTTCCAGCAGCATGTTATAGCCCAAGCAGGATCTTGGGCTAGCCTCATACTACGTTGTTGATTATCTAAGTATTTTATTACCAGGAAGATGCTAAAGACAGGTCTTTTTTAATGATTTCTGTGAACTATGATGTTCATATTAACAATAATATTAGAGTTTATATGTTTAATTTCAAAACCTTGAATAATTGAAAGAATTTTGTGGACAAGAGCAGTCAGCTTGTATTTCTCTTACACTATTTTTCAATGCCTTGTCTTTATATATGGCAGCAAGATTCTGCCTGTGGGTGTCTGTCCTGGTCATATACAGGCTTAGGCATATTTCTGATCTGAGCTGTGACAGTGAAAACTAGGAATAATATCTCAGATCAGCATCTGCCACTTGACTGCTGCTGTTGTTAAACCAGGCACAAGAGGACGTGTAGTGACAGTACAACTCGCTCACCAGATACTGCAAATCATATCAAAAAATGAAAGGTAATTTTTCATGGTGGGTTTTTTTTTTTTTCCTAGGCAATTCCCATCCTGAGCAGAATAAGCTGCTTTACAGGAGTTGCCTTTCCATACTGCCAGTGCCTGACTGATAGGCCCCATGTGGTGGGTTTGTGTTTGTGCTCAGGGACTATGTCTCTGGTTTGGAGAGGTTGGGCTTGACCCCTGCCAGAGCTGTGGTTCTGATTTTAATTGAAACTCCAAGACTGTTTGAAGCATAGCCAAAAAGCACCTTGGAAGTTGAACCTTATCTAATAACATGATGCATGTAAACTCTGAAAGCATAAATCTTAGTCGCTTGAGCAGTGTGTTTTTACAATGCAGGGACAGCCCCAGTGAGTGACACTGGGCTGATCTCCCAGTGCTCTTACAGATGGTGTGCAGCACATCGTAAAGTTAGGACTTGTTAAGGAAATTCCATAAATTGCTTTGGTTAATAAGAATGAAGTAACTTGCTCTTTTATAAATGTGTTGCTGATATCCCTCTCCATTTCCCATTGGAGCATTTTGTAAGAGAAGGAGGGAAAGAATGAGGGGGACTAAGGGAAGGTTGAAATTAAGAGTGAGCCCCGGGTGTATTGGGGCTCCCAACAGGAGCCTGTGAGTAGCAGAGGAACCCTAAAGGTAGCGTAGATGATAAATGATGAGCTGTGAGAGCGAGTCACACAGTAAATACTGGGAACAACCTTTCTGTTTTACTTGTTTGTATGCCTGGGAATTTTGTCTCTCTCTCCATAGTGCTAAAAGCCAGTGGTGATGGTGGGCTTTTATCTCTAGCCAAGAGAGAAATTTCTAGTATGACATACCTGTTAGCCACTATGAAAATGTGTTATTAATGCTGCTAATGAGTTTTTTCCAAATGATGTAAAAGTGTGTGAGCATTGCATTTATGGAGGTGATGTCACCAAAAGCTTGCCAACAGCACGTGGGACCTGATGGCAGTGGCACAGTTACTGCTATGCCCTGGCTTTGAGAAGGGGAGAGCATTGCTGATCTCCTCCCTTGGGGAAAAAGAGCCAAATGAATTCTGCCTTGCCAGGAGGGACATGTGCCATTTCCGGGCACGTTGGGCTGAGGGCCTCACTGCCAATCACAGTAGGTTCCTGTCCCACTCCCTCTTAAAAATTGGCAGTGCCTGACTGTCAGCTGCCATTCCTTAAGTGGTCATAGAATAAACCAATTGCACCCCTTTTGTCATGCTCTGTGTGTGTGTGTGTGCAGGTGGACATGGGTTAAGCTGCGCGCAACTCCACAGTGAGCACAAAGAGGCAGCTGATTTTCTGGCAGTGTCAATAGAAGAGCATAATTTAAAATTTTTTTTATTGCCATCTCCAAGCCAGCTTTTAAAATGGCTCTTGTTGGAATTAGAAATCAGTATCCCCTGACATAGGATTACTCATTAAGAGCATGATGATTGTTAATTCTTCACCTGGGGCTAAGAGGACATCATTAGATCTCTTTGAAATGTCTCCTGCCTTGATTTTGAATAAGTAAGCTAGCAATTTATGATCACAGCCCGGGCCAGTAACACTCTCCCTTCCTGTTCCTCCATCTAGCTTGCAAAATCGGATACTACAAGGCTCTCTCGACAGATGTTGCTTGTGCCAAATGCCCCCCTCACAGCTACTCCATCTGGGAAGGCTCTACCTCCTGCACCTGCGATCGGGGCTTTTTCCGAGCTGAAAATGATGCTGCCTCCATGCCCTGCACTCGTAAGTTGGTCTTTGAACAGTCTCTTCCCCTTTTACCATTCAGTTTTTTCTTCTGTCTTCCTTCACTGTTTTATGTAGGAATTACTGCCTGGAAATGTGTGTCTCTGAGAAGTGTTCTGGTTTTGAGAGCAGCATTCAGTAGCTCTCGCGGCCCTCTGCAAATGCAGTTTGCATTTTGGCTCACACTTCTGGGAGAGAAAGTGTTAGTTCTCAGCCCTGAATTTCTAACGATGACATGGTTGCACTGACCCTTGAGACCTCACAGTCTAAATAAATCAGGAGACTGGGAGCAGACACAGCTGCAGAAGAGTGACTCGTACACCTCAGTAACAGTGGTAGAAATAAAATAGATGTCTAAGTTACAGTCTGAGCACCTGGCCAGTAGATCACATCACCTTTCATCTCTTTAAATATTTATGTTTGTAGAAATTGTGAAAGCTTTTCTTGTAATTGTATGACCTAGGGTAAATAGGTAATATTTATAATCTCATTATATATCTAATTTGCTTGAAATATAGCTGGTGACTCTTGGGAACATAAGTGTTCATCTGAAAGGGCTGGTAATAATAAATCTTGAACTTTAATGAAACAACCACCCAAAGCATGGTTTATTTTTTCCTAGGTAGATAAATACATCATGTACAGCAAATGGAATTTGCTTTAGTTCAACCAAAATGCCTTCAGCAAGGAGAAGGAGAGGTGCATTGAGCTTACCCACGGGATTGTTGGAGCAACTGCTTGTCCTATGTGTTGGTTAATGGCTCATGCAGCCACGGACCTGGGATTCCAGGCATGTCCTGGTGTTAAATTGTGGTCATCAGGTTCTTTGGTTTTCACTTCTTTAGAAACAGAGCAGTTTGAAACAATAACTGAAAAGGTTGTAATTTACTAGGAGATATCCACGTGTGGCTTTCCCTGAAAGCTATTGGAAATGCTTCCAGGTTTTTGGAGTTCAGCAGTATATTTATGTAGAGAGTGTGTATCTGTCTGAATGAGGGAAGGCAGAGATATTTCTTTTGTAACATTTTAATATAGTGCAAATTAAATCTGGAGAGATGACTCACATTTATTTAAATCTTAATTTCTCCCTTACAAGGCAGAAACAGAGTATGTCCATAACTAAGCCAGCACTTGTCCCTTCCCCACACTGCCATGATTCCAGCTGTTCTCCAGTGATCTCCTCCTTTTCAGCAGCGAGCTTTGCTGGGTGGTGGTTGAACAGGCCAAGGCCTAACCAAGAGCAGCTGCTTTTGCTTAGTAGGAAGCAGCGTGGTCCATATATCCCCTGCCAAGCACTGACTGGGGACGGAGGTCTAACTGTATTGTGAAACTTTGCCTAAGTGGGCAGGAGCATGCTTTTCATAATATAATTTACACTAGAAGATATAAAACTTGACCATTTTGATAGGAAAAATGTCTTTCTGCAACAGCAAAACAATCATTTGGAATGTAGACCCTAAATAACATTATACCAGCAGAAGTTTGTCAAAGCTCTGGTCCTAGTGAGTGATGTCCTGACCAAATTGAAATCAAATTAGTAATCAACTCATTGAATTTAAATAGGCATGTGCAGTTAGTGAAGTATGAGGAGAGAGCAAAACATTTCCAGATGGGGAAATTGCGAGTAAGTGATATGTATGTTTGCTTGTATTGCAAAATGTACCCCTGCAAGCTTAGCCCTTTTTTGTCAATTCTCGGGCTTACTGCCTCACCCTTCTGGAGGTCGGTCAGAGTTGAAGTTACTGATCTTGGTCTTTTACCCTGAAAATATACAGAGGGAAGAAGCAAAGGCAAAAGACCCATGGTGATGGCCTCAGTCCTCATCTCTGCAACTGTCTAGGGAGGACTTGGCGTGCAGAGGCGAGCCAACACCACAGTTCCTGCTCTTGGAAAACAGGCCTGTCTCTGGAGGTCCAATTTCAAGCCTTTGAATTTTCCTGTGGCTTAAGGGCTACCTTTTTGTCTGTGAGCCAAGGTGAAGGAAGACACGGGTTATTTTGAGCTGGCCTGTGGGGCAGCTATGCTCCCCAACTCCCTGCTGTGCTCACTGATAGCCCCTCTTTGAGGTCTGCCCTAGCTGTGTTTGAAAGCTGCTGTGATGGTGGTACCTGCTCAGGCATGAAATGCAGCCCTGCCTGTGTTGTTGTGCAGGGAATGGGGTGCAAGGGGTTCTGGGGAGCAGTTCATTTGCCATACTCCACACACGCAGTGGTCTTCTGCCCATGCACCTGAGTCAAGGGATGGAGCATTTAGAGGGTTTCTGCTGAAGGAAGAGCCTTCGGAAGAAGGTGCCCATTTGTCTGACTTTCCTGACAAGATATGGAACCAGAAGGGAGAATAAACATCAAAGGTTCTTTCAGATGGATTCAGACTCTAATCAGTTCTTACCAGTTGGTTAAACCAGGTGACAAACCCAATTCCCTTGTGCTGACAGCCATAATAATCAGGCACCTTCTTTGTTCATTATGCTCTCTTTAACTCTGGTATTCTCATTCAGGCCTGCATTTAGTAATCGCTCAGTGTGACGGCACACTAATGAAGAAATAAAACACAGTATCTGAGATCCATTCTTCTAGCAAAAAGATAGACTCTGCTCCACTGGCTTGTAAAATCAGGTTTCTGTTCACTTGGAGAACTATTAGACCAGGTGAATAAAAGTAACATTGGGTAATTTGGAGAGAGCACCTGGAATGGACTGTGGATTGATCCTTTCTTTATTATTTCTAAACACTTTTTAAGATGAAGAACTTCAGCCTTCTTAAGATGTGTTTTTGTAAAGCTTTGACCCTTGGCTATTGATTTCCTTTAGTAGTAAACTGGCTGGCCTCGTCACTTATCTCACATTCTGGGTTGGGGGAGGAAGATTGTTAGGACTTTCCATTAGCCTGATTGTGCTAGTGGATGAGAGGGAAGATAATTCCCCTTCCTTTTCCTTTCTTACAGTTCCCATGGTAAGTGACAAAAGCGACAGCTACTTCCTGATGTGCTGGTCAGGCGAGGTGCTTCAGAGTTCTGTCATTCCATAATGCCACACTCTGACATCAGCATCCATTGCTGAGCTGTAAGAACTGTGCCTAACCTCCAGTAAGCTGGGCATCAGGCTCCTGAACAAATAACTCAGACTCTGAGTTTGGTATTCTGCTTTATTTTAGCTCTGCTAGCATGAGTAGTTATGTCTGGCTTAATGCTTATACAAGCAAGAGCAGAATGTGGCAGAGAGCGAGTGTAAGAGACAGTGGAGTGGACTGTGTCCAAGGCCACACATAGACACCCTGACATACATGTTTAGTGATGCATCTTCTCCCTCAAACTTGCCTCATGGGGACAGTCATCAATGTGTCTGTCACCACTGAGGGGCAGAGCCACCCTGGATCTGCTGCTTTGGCCAAACTTGGGAATTTAGACTTTCAGCCCTGAAGCACATTGGGCTTGTCAGCTGTGTGCGTGGGCATGGAGAGGGTATGATTGTCCTGTAACACGCTTGAGCACAAGCCGTGGAAAACACGGATGCCTTTCCTGTTTGGAAGCATTACAAAAATAATGTCAAGGCAACTCTTCAGACCTTCATTATATTTCAGTACTTGCTAGGAGGAAGGGTCTTTCATAAGGTTAGTGATGTAATGGAGAATAAATTGGCTTGCCCACACATAAATCCTTGAGGCTGGAAAACAAATCAGTCTCAATCATGGTCCTTGTCCCTGGATTTCCTTCTCCATAAGGAGATATGCTGTGAATTGCAGCCTGGCACAGGCAGGTGCAGTTCCCACCCAAATTAGTGGGAGTTGCTCCTGCATCCCCACCGTTAATGAGTTGGGGTCTCCAGCTCTTTCTTAACAATGTGCACATTATGAACGAGGATGGGACAGTTTTGTATTGTTTATATTGTCTGTTCAATTCAAATTATTAATGATTTTTAATTGGGAGCCCTTTACAAAAGAGAGATTACCAGCAAAGACTGTCCAGCTTGAAATCTGTCTAAGTAAATGACCCTGAATAATTTAGTCTGTTGTGCCACCCAAACGGTGACTGATGGATTGATATTTTGTCATGGCCTGAAATATTTTGAAGCAGTTGCATTTAAGACAGTTCATATCAGAGAAGCTTAGAGATAATAAGAGCAAATTTAGTGAGATGGAAGAGAAAAGTGCCTGGTTTAAAAGGACCTTCTCCAGTTGAGGTTATCAAGAAACCGAATAGCCTGACTTCAAACAGCAAACATCACTTACTTGTCTTTACATTCCCCTCTTCTAATTGAATTTAGTGCACTGCTGTATTTCCTCCAGAAAGTATATTGTTTTTAAATTACCATTTCAGTGTTATTACTCAAGGCTCCTGCTTCTAATGCTTTCTGACAGTTATCAGCATAATGAACCATAATGAAATGATGAGCAATCTACAGTGGAAACTCAATGTGGATTCCACTAGAGCTGTGTGACTGTGCTGTTAAAATTTGAATGCACATTAAAATAACACTGTCCTTATTTGCTTCCAAGGTCAAGGCTTAAAAAAAAGGTCCATAAGGTCTAAACATGTCAATTTTGTAAATATTGCAATCTAGTATATACACCCTTAACACAATCTTGTGTTGCATTTAATGTAACTCAGAGATAAATATTTGACCTGCATTTTCAAAAAAGTGAGTTTACCTACCTAATAACTGTGCTTGCAAATGAGTAATTACACAGGAGCTGATTATTTGAGCATATGTTTATAAGGATTGCTTAGACTTCTAAATAAACAAATGTGCTCTTTTTCCTTCAATTTGACGTGTGCCTTTTGTAAGTTTCCAGTCAGATGGTGATTACCACTGTTCAAACTGTTAGAAGTAAAGCAAGTAGGGTAGACCACATGGTTGTGCTGGTTAGTGCATTGGAGGTGACTTTGCACTGGCTTTGCCATGCTTCCTTCCCAGGACTTGCGCACTTGTGCTGGCACTACTGCAGTCCAACCTCTGCTGTTGGAGCCTGTTCTCTGTAATATGAAGTATATGCCAATATATC